GACCACATTTTGAAGGCAGACAGGGCAACATCTTTCAGGAACATACGCTGGCAGTAAGAAAATAAAACAAGCAAGCAAAAATACACTTACAAATGTATTTTAAAAGGCATCCAGTCATCACTGGTGTGCAAGGATAATTCCTACCTCAGATAGTCTCTGCGACAAAGGATAAGATTAGCTTTAGTGTACAGGGTGGAGCCCACCTCTCCCAAACGACAGTCACAGCAGGCACACTTCAGGCAGTCTTCATGCCAATATTTGTCCAGTGCCTTTAGAAGATACCGGTCCTTGATCTTTCGGTTGCAGCCAGCACAACCTTTCGGCTTGGTGTCTGGCTGGACTGAGAGCATTTGTATACCTGAAGGAAGACGAAACAAAACAAGAGAGCTGAGACCAGGAGACAGAATGAAAAGATGTCAGAAGATCTCCAACAAGTTAAATATTTAATATTGCCTTTTCCTGGAAAGAAATAGGATTTTCTTTTTTAGGCATGGATGTACTGAAGTCGAAGTAAATTTTGAAAGCAAAAAGTCTCAAACTATAAAATCCCTACTAAATCATTGGTGAAGTCATACATATAAAGTGGTAATAATAATGAATTTGTGTTGTATATGGCAAGTTCACATTCTAAACGTAGGGTTAAATAACACTAAATCATTTTGCAGTGTTCTTGCTCTCCACATAGAGCAGTTCCTTTAGAAAGAAAAATGAATAAATTGCTAACAGTCTGAAAAGACAGCTGTTTAACAAAGTGATCATACATAGTCTAAAGGAGTCAAAGTTTTGTTTGACTGGTTAAAAATTTCACTTCATATGTGCTTCATGGGAGAAGAAAAGTACACCCTGTATGGGATTACATGAACTTCACGTAGCAGTACAGATGTTTATAATTACATACACACCACAGCCACCCAAAAGCTTAGCAATCCTATATTGCCTGTTTGCATTCAAAGACTTCTTTATGTGTCCTAGATATTTCAAAGTATTCATTATTAAAATAACAAATATTCATGCTCACAATCATCAACCAATGCCTCTATTAATGGCTCAATACTTACCTATATACTATAGGCTTTTA